GTGGCACAGGAGCAGATGTGGCAAGCATTTGGGTACAGAATGGTCCTCATGCAGATGCTGTGTGTCACACTGATTCCAACAGAATTAGTCCTGCCATGGTGTAAGAAATAGGTAGCCCCAGTGCCCTTTTGTAAAGCACTGCAGAATACCTCCATGAAAGTTTCCCATGGCTCTCCATGGAGGATTCTCAGACCATCCCTGTGCACATAAAACTTTTTTTTTTGGGGGGGGGGAAGGGGAGGGGAGAAAAAACCCACACGCTATAGCTGTAGTAGACACTGGGAAGCAGATACCTTCTGCATATAACTTCTTCATATATTAAAACATATATATGTACTCAGCATCAAGTTCAGCTGCCATATGGTCCTGCGACTGGGTAGACTGCTAGGGGTTAAAAACAACATCTGTCTCAGTGAGAATGGATCCCCTGCTCACCTGTCTCCCATTTTGCTGCTCCTCATTCAGAGCATCCGCCTCATTTTTGCCTGAGGCTGTCAGGGACTCAGACTCCTGGGAGGTACCCACACTGCATTTGGGGGTAGTGATGGGGTCACCACCAAGAATCGCATGCAACTCACTGCAGAAGCAGCATGTCCGTGATGCTGAACCAGAACAATTGTTCGTCTCTTCATTGTTCAGGTCTTCTGGACCATCTGCCAAAATTATTTGGCTTTTCACATGGCACTGCTTTGTATTCCTGGAGTAGCCCTTCTCCCCTAAGCCTGGCACCATCTTTTTGTAGAAGTCTACATTTCTTCCGCTGATTTGGAGCAATGTCTACACGGACCTCTTTTTTCCACGGACCAGTAAGATTCACCACTTCCTGCACACTGTAGGCTGGAGCACATTTGGCCTTTGCCTCTCAACCAGCTGGGCCAGGGAGCTAGCCCCACACTGATCAAACAGGGAATGTGAAGCCAAAAGAGTTCCCAGAGCTTTAAATAGGAAAGCATTGTTTCCTGTGTACCAGACTGAAGAGCAGTGGAGTTAAACTATCTCTAGAGTAATCACAGTACAGAACTGTGTGACATTTCTTGGAGGCCAATTCAATCAACTTATACAATTCTGCTTCTACTCTGCCTCTCTGTTGACTCCTCTAAGTGCTCAAGAACAGCCATACTAGATCAGAATAAAGATCCATCTAGCCCACTATCCTCTCTTCCACCCACAGCCAATGCCAGGTTCTCCAGAGAGAATGAACAAGTAATCAAGTGACCAATCCACTGTTCCTCATTCCCAACTTCTGGAAAATAAAAGCTAAGGACATCATCCCTGTCCATCCTAGCTAAAAGCCATTGATGGATCTATCCTCCATGAATGTATCTAACTTTTTTTGAATCTGCTATAGTCTTAGCCTTCACAATATCCTCTGGCAAGGAGTTTCATAAGTTGACTGTGTTATGTGAAGAACTACTGTTTTGTTTTAAATCCACTACCTGATATTTCCTTTGGTGACCCTAGTTCTGGTTTACGAGAAGGAGCAAACGCTTCATTTACTTTCTCCACACCAATCATGATTTTATAACCCTCTATCATAGCACCCTTGTGATGTCTTTTCCAAGTTGAACAGTCCCCGCCTTAACTTCTCCGAATACAGAAGCCAGTCCATACCCCTAGTGATTTCTGTTGCCTTCTAAGTGGTAAACATCAAATTAAGAACTACGGTTCTTGTGGAGGTGGAATAATTAAATTGATGTTTCAGCAGAACCTCAGAGTTATGAGCACCCCGGGAATGTGTGTTATAACTCTGAAACATTTACAACTCTGAACAAAACATTATAGTAGTTTTTCCGCTTTGAAACTTACTATTCAGAAGAAAAATGTTCCTTTTAACAATGTTAATTTAATGGAACAGCTTCCTTACCTTGTCTAAAAAAAATAATTTTTTTTTAAACTTTCCATATTTTTAGTTTTCATTTAACACTGTACAGTTCATGCTACTTCCCCCTCCCCATCTCAAGTGCCGCCTGACTGCATACTTCCAGTTCCAAAGCAGATGTGTAGTTAGTTACATGTTCAGTTCATAACTTTGGTGATTCATAATTCTGAGGTTCTACTGTAGAGTAGACACATTATTAGATCATCAAAAGGCAGATTTTGTCTACTTATGTTCGTAGTGTAGCCCAAGCCTCATTTATGAAGATAGGGAGAAAATATAGGCTTTTTAATCAGTTTCCAACAATGACAACATGTAATCATAATTAATCTAACACAAGGGTGTCTTACTCCTGTAAAGCTTCTTAGTAACAGACTGCTCACCACTGGAAATAAACCTTCAGAACTACTGTAGTATGGACTTTTAGTATGAAAACCAATTTGAAATGTAAAGATACAACCAAATAGACCTAAGTAAATTTTAGTATTCAAAGTATGATCTAACTCATGCCAATACACTGAAACTACTTATCTTTAAAAGTGCAGATGTAATATTCACCTATTCTTGGTGAATATCAGATGCTGTTAGAGTTAAAATTTAATTGCTGATCATAAGTGTGCCCAGTATCATATACCCATTGTCCAGTAAACAAGAGGGCTTTATAGAAAAGAACAGATCTGGGGGGGACAAGGGAATTAGGAAAGCAACTGTAATAGACAGGCTGCTGTCTATCTAGGTGTAGACGAGAAATGCTTCTGGCCCTATTACTGTATGAGACACCTTAGGGAAGGAGTAAAAAGGACTGAAGCAGTGGTAGTAAAGCAGACGGGGTCCCTGAGCTAGCCTACCTGTGAGAGGCAGGTGGTGACAGTAATTAAAACTAGATCAAGAAGGGCCAGTAAGCAAACCTCTAATGCCAGGTGCTGATGAAGATGTTGGCAGATCATAGGATCTAGTGCCTGTTAACATCCCAAAGATGGTAGACCACACCCTCCACATGTGCCCCTGAGCACTTTATTTTCAGGAGCTGACTACATATATAAGCTCTTCGTCCTTAGCCCACTCTGTCCCTACACAAAGAGGAAAAGGCTTCATTCCCTTCCTCTTCCTAGTGTAACCATTTAGATTTAGGGCAAACCCATCCAAGTTTTTTTACTGTTTATATGCAGGGTAGAGGGTAATATTCAGTTATCTTTGTATACCAAGCAGTCATGTACCCCAATCACACCTCCAGTAACTATAACTTATGAACTTGAGTTTTCATTTATACAGAATCTTTATATTTCTAAATGATAAACACATGGTAAAGAATTTTTCTATATGAAGCAACCCATTTCAACAACAGCTTTCACACAGCAATACAAAAAACTAAGCCTCGGCCATGTACAGTAATTGTCATTATCTACACTACTCAACCACAGCTCAGATGCTCACCTCAACTGTGATGCGCACAGTGTTCTACCTTCCAGTGCAAGATCTAAACAAACCTGATAATGAACAGTAGTTGAGGTAGAACATCACTGCATCTATACAAGCCACAGATCTATCAGCTTCAATTGCTATTTCAAGATTATGGTAAATTACTAGTTCAACTGATTAACTAGTTATTGAAGCTTCAGGGAGTAGCCGAATTAGTCTGTACAGAATAAACTTAAACAACAAATGGTCTGGTAGAACTTTATAGACTAACAAAACATGTAGATGGTATCATGAGCTTTCGTGGGCTTTTCTGGACATCTGAAGAAGTGGATTGTACCCATGAAAGCTCATCATACCATCTACATGTTTTGTTAGTCTATAAAATGCTCCTACACCATTTGTTATTTAACTAGTTATTGTTGACTTAAATAGCTGTTCAGTGATCCCTGCAGTACTATGCAGCAAGATGTTTTTCTTCCAATATTCAATACCTAGATTCCATTATCTACCATTTTTATTCACCTCAAGTAGCACATTATTCTGCTAGTAGTCCTATTAAACCAATCGGCTACTCAGGAAATTAAACCGGGTATTAAACTTTTTCCAATTTGGCAAATCCTTGATACAGTGGTCAGTAACAATCCTTGGAGGGGGGGGGGAACCCACACTTTAGATCTCATATTTTGTACATTATCATAATTTGAGGGTACACAAAAGTTATTTTGCTTTTCCGCATATGCATCAAAAAAGAAAAGCCCAGATAAAGATAGTGAAGCTGCCCACTACATTCACCTCCTTCCCACATGGACTCTTTCATACTATTCTTTTCTAACATAAGTTAGAATGAAAGAATACTGTGTTAAATTGAGAGTGGTTATTTGTTGCTTCCACTTCCCTTTTCCAAAATAGCAATTTAGAACAAATATCCATGGCACATATTAGTAACATTTAACAGACTGCATTGCATTTAACTCAGTGATAGGGTTGTTTGTTAAAGTCCAGTTGAAACATATTCAGGTTCTCATTTGAGAACTTGGGCAGGTCTTTTAAAAAGTAATAGCATCCATCTGGAGCTTGCTCCCTAAGGAGAGGTTAACCCTGCTCACTACACAGCAAAAAATACAGAAGTTTGAAATGGGGTGGAAGTGAATTTTTTTGGTCCACATTTACTAGACATTACAAATAAAGTATCCACCCCTTCCCCGGGTCATAAGCTAAAGTTTACAAAAAGTTATATGGAGTGTATTATCTCAGTCTGAAATCTGTGACTAAGTATGTTTGGTTTCTAATTTTATGGAGGAGATGGAAGATGGCTGCAGAGTGATAGAATTTTCCAAAATAATATATGATGAGATAAGTGCATCCAGAATGCTGTTTTTTTTTTTTAATGTAAGTGATTTGTGGAATTTCAACACCAAACTTTTATACACAAGTTTTTAAAAAATGGAAAGCTGCAAGTAAAATTAAGCAGCAACAAGTTGGTCAAGTTAGTAGAAATATAAGAGGATAAATTATGTATGGGTATCTTTATATTTAGATCAACGGCACTGGTAATGCCAATTACACACTTATATTTTATTTTCACTTTAATACTGGACTGAGCACCTTAAAGGTCTTCTTTAAAAAAAAAAGCCACCTCCTCTTTCTTTGTTGCACTCATTTCAATAC